ATATTTTTGATGTTTCATTTTGTATTGAAGTAACATTAAAAAAATAATAAAGAATAAAATTAACAGGTTTGTAATTAATACATTCAATATGTACTATAATAATTTATTACTCGCCATGTAAATTTCTGGTTTCTATATTCATGTTTCTTCACAATTAACTAAGTACGCTTAGAAAGGATTTGAAACGTTATTCACTACATTAAAAATCCTAAAATTAAATACGAAAATGTATAAACGAAAATTATCTCGAATCCATTGGATTCACCGCCCCGCGTGTCAGTGTTGTTAAGAAAGAGATCAAGTGGTGCGGCAGTGCGCACAGACTTTCCCGTATTGGTTTACGATTTCCTTTCGTCTCGGCTAACTATACGAACATATTCTTGCCAGCTGCAATCTATCGCCGCCCAAAGAACATTTTTTGACATTTTCTTAATTTTTCGGTTTTCTAGTAGTTGAATGAAAATATATTTTAAAATATTAAAGAAATGTAAAATCTCGTTATTATGGGCAATTTTCATCGAAAAATGTGAAGCCATTTTTTAGAAAATGGCGCTTAAGCCTTACTGTAAAATCAAGATTTGAAATTTTTTTACAGAAAATGTTTGAGTTTTCAAAAATCTGAATTCGAAATAATTTGAAGCATTTCAACTCGCATATATAATATCGTTTACAACTTTCTGGAAAAGTGCATATCAACGGCGGGAGAGATTTTTCAAAACATTTATATTTGTGTAATTTTTAAAAAAAACAAAAGGAAATACACCGAAATAAACTTTACGTTCACATTATCGTAGAGTGTAATGAGCACAATCCGTTCGAAAAGTTTGAAAAAAAAATGGAAGCGTTTTTGAAAAAATAGCGTTTGAGCATTTCTGAAAATGTGAAAGTTTGAGCAAGTTTTCACAAAACGGTTGAGTTTTCGAGAAGCTTATTCTGACATTATTTAAAGCACATGTACTCATAAATACAATAATGTGAACACATTGCGGCTAATGCAACGACATGAGAGGCAAGTCATAAAATTACATTTTTATAATTTTGAAAAAACAAATTTGAGCTATGTGGCATTTATGTCATCTTATGCAGTACATTTAACTCTATCCCAACCAAAAGTTTTTTTAAAAAATTGAAGCGGATTCGAGAAAATAATGTTTTTGTATTTTCTTTTTAAATTGCACATATTGTGCGCAATATTGCGTGAAGACAACTAAAATTTTCAAAAAAAATTACATGACCTTAATAAAAGAACTCAATTTTTTACTTACCTTAATAAAAGAACTCAATCTTCAATTTTTTAGTTGAAGGAAGACATCGAAAAAATTCATACTTTTGAATTTTTCGAAAATTCAGAGTTAACCGTGAAAATCGAACCTACGCCACTTTTATAAATGTTTGTTACCTTGTTCTTAACCGAAATTTAAAGAAAAAATTTGGAGCCTTTTTGAGAAAATTCTAAATATGTCTGGAGGGCTTCTGGTAATGAACCCCGAAAATATGAAGAATGTTTTTCAAAATCTGGAAGTCTCGACTCATGTCAGATGTACAGTTTTTTCTTCAATTTGGAAAAAATCCTACGTATAGTTTAGGCGGCAGGAATGCTCACAGAGACCAGACAGACAGACAGACAGACAGACAGACAGACAGACAGACGGACAGACGGAGATTTTGAAAGATACTTTTTCTGTATCTAGGGTCCCCAAAACGTGTATTTCCGTTGAAATCTCGAAATCTATTTTCCGCAGCATTACATTACTTTCCCTGTACTACAAATATTCCTTCGTATATGGGAAAGTAATACGTAGACGGGAAAGTAAATCAAATTTTAAAAAACAATACTGTGACACGCGGAAGTGGCTCGTTTATTTTTCCTAATGGGTCTCAGAGATCGCACGTCACGAGTTAAGGGAACTATCAATGACCCTTTAACTGACTCTTAAGTTGTTACTTTTTGCCAATGAACATGGAGGGAAATTTCATACCCCGTAGTTACACATGTGACATTTGCCTCTGATGTTAGGCAACACCTTACGCACAGGTGTTCTGCGGGTCGCTTTCTATCGCAGTTAAGGGGAATTCACATTGCCCAAAGCCTGCGTGTAAGGTCCAGTTCTGTGTTTACGGACTGGTGGAGAAATGACGTCAGGGCAGCGTTCCCCTCCGCTGAAAGGGTCTTCGAGAAGAAAGAGACGAGAGACGGATCGACAGCCTTGACAGTGGGTCATTGCCTGTGCTTCAGGCAACATGGGAGCCCATTTACGTCCGTTAATTTTCTTCCGATTTGGGAAAAAATGTTTCTTTTTGTAGATAACGTAATATAGGCTACGTGCTTAGTGTTCATATAAAAGTACTGCAATATTATATTAAGTTGCACCTACAGAGGCATTATGCAACTTGACAACTCATAGAAACCCGCGAGATGATAATAATTTCTGATAATTGACAGATAACCTGCAAACATGATATGAGTAAGGGATTTTGCTGATAGAAGATCATGGAAATTGTACTGAAAATCACGAGTATTAACAACGTTCTCAAAGAAAACTGTACATGAAATAATCAAGCCTATAGTCCAAATTCTACCATGTGAACCCTTACGGGTATCTATTTTTATATATAATTCTTAACATTAATTATTGGTTCAGGACGAACTAAAATTGTTTTATTATATAACATTGTATAAATATTGTTGTACCAGGATGTTAGAACTGTCTTCTCCAAGATGTTAGAAAAATGGAAGTGTAATTACAGTACTGGTTACGATAAACAGAGTCAGATATTACTTTGAGTTATATAATAATCTATGATCTATTTTTTAATTGTACATCTTCTTATTCAATCATACACATTTAAATATTATTTACGATTTAAAACCGTAATTTTCGAGCGAACCTTTTCCCCCACTTCCTTACCAACATTAAAACACTATACACCGCCGCGTCAGTCACTTTCTTTGCTCCACGACTCAGTTGGGAGCCGGAGAAAAAAAACTTTTGTGACATAACAGAGCATTCAGTTGGCAAGCACTAGTCTACCATAGCATTTAGGAACAAATACAACACGTCCAAGAATCGATAACGCACGGCGACTGTATTTTGTAAACATTCTAGAAGCGTTAAAAGACGAACATGGCCTTCGGACAGGTGCCTGAACCCAATGAGAGGCCAATTCCTGAACGAAAAACACTAAAATCTTACTTAAAGATTGAGCAACAAACAACGCTGACCGCTGCAATAAAAAAAATGGTGGATTCCATTTAGCATTTCGACGTTGCTCCCCGCTCCACCCTCAGGAGGGGGGTTGGGGGGTCATGTTTGGTTCCATTGAATAGATTTTTGAAAATTTTTAAATAAGTAATTTTATTATTTTTTCGCTCGCAAGTATGTTTCCGTGAGCTACTTGACGGCCGCGTGACTGTGCGTGTGCGTGTGCGTGCGCGTCCGCGTTGCAGGAGCGAGTGGGTGAAGCCGCTGGACGGCGGGTGGGGGTCGCTGCGCAAACGTCGTGGGCGCATGGTGAGCCTGCTGCTCAAAACGCAGCGCGCACGCCGCCGTCCAACGCCTTCACCCCACCAAGCGCGCCCTCGACGCCGGTCGCCTTCGCCTCCCCGCCCTTCAGCACCAGGTGCGGCGCCCCCACAGCCAATTATTATTATTATTTATTATTATTATATATTATTATTATTATTATTATTTTATTATTATTATCATGTATCATAATCATTTATTATTATCATTATTATCAATTATTATTATTATTATTATTATTATTATTATTATTGGCGTATGATTACTGACTACGCCACAGCATTACATTTTTACACGATTAACGTGTGGAATTCTTCCATGATCAGCTTTTCAGCTTGATCCTTGTTGTTACGCCTTGTAAGTGTGATTTTACGAGATGAATAGGATGAATGATGATAGCGTGAAAGGGACAATCACAATACGCACTATACAGACAAAGACTAAAAAACTTGTCTGCGCAGGACTCGAACCGCACCTCCTTCGGCACAGGAACGGCTGCCGCTGAACCGTCTGCCGGCCACGGGGCGACTTAATTATTATTAATTTATTATTATTATTATTATTATTATTATTATTAATCTAGTTATTGATTATTATATTATTTGAGTAATTAACTAAATATTACATTCTGACATTTTTTAGATCTCTGCTTTATATAGACCATAACGTTGACTATATGTTATACACAAACAATAAACGTATAATCGTACGTTAATACATTAGGTATTCAATAGCTCGTAAAAGCTATTAAAAACAAACGAACTGTCAAAAAGGTTTTTGAAGAATCAATCAATCAATCACGACCACTGTCACAATACTGATTTATGAGACCTCAGACACAGATTTTCGGTTTTGAACAATAATAACCGTTTGAAGCTATTATAGTGGCTTGGTGGCCAGCGCGCCAACTGTTGGCAGGGATGTACAACACTACGAAAGCATGCCGCCCTTCAAACACAGTTCAGTAAAGTCATATCACCAACACGTTTTGTTTTGTCTGATAAATTTTTAAGGGCTTCTTCAGCAAAAATGCATTAGAGAAGTGTTGACATGGTGAACACTCACTAAGCCAGTTTATTCGCAATAAGTCGTGGGGGTTGGGCTTTCCCTACCTCTCATTCCACAATCCTCCCAAACCCTCTCCGATTCACTTCATTCACCAAATTAAAATATTCTCCGACGACTAGGCTGAACCATTCTATGGAGGTGTCCAAGTCAAGAATAGAAAGTATAAAAACGGTAAAGGAAACTTTTGAATGGCGATTCCTGTTGGTAATAAGATATATTCCTATATTCTTTGGTATATAAGAGCGGTGATGGTTGCGACGGTCGCCATATTGGAACACAGTGATCGAAATATTTGACGAAATAAATACAACATAATCTACCTCTATGAAACGTATTGAAGTTTATTTAAAAAAAGGTTTCTTCTATTATACTCTAGTAGTGACAGGAAAGCAACTAAAAATCTATTCAATGTTGAAAGGTAGAGTGAAACAAAGTAAGTGGTCAATGAGACCTGAATATACGAAGTGACACCATGAAACAGGAAAACAATCTAATAAATTTTCCAGTCACGTTTTTAATTACAACAGTCATCGTTGACTATAAAGTACTTGTATATTACAAATGTAATAACCACAACAAAAGCTAACTTAAATTCAAGCAACGGGTTAAACAAAATGTGCCAACTAAAACTGCAAAGAACATACGCAACACAATCACAAAAACAGCAAACAACGGAAGCATAGCGCTAAAGTATAAATGATCGCAAAGTGGCGTTGAGCAAGCGAGTGTACTCGGTTTCAATTATGGGCGAGCATTGAATGAATTTGCGGGTGCGGAGTTGCAAGGAAGTTTCCAGCTTTAGATATGGATTCAGGGTATCAATTGAGAGTCAATGCAGTGCTTTTGACCAAGAGGGTCCGAGTCCACGAACGAGGTCGAGTCACGACGGTAGGCAAGATTTTAGACATTACTGCTTAACTTAGGTCGAATCAGTCGCGTCGGAGAAATTCTAGCGAAGTAGTTTCTCCCGTGGTCTCCCGCAATTCAACAGTAGGTCGCCGGAGCAGTATCCTAAAAAGAGCAACGGAGGGACCGTGTGGATTTCCTTTCTCTTTCTTGTTCTTCGCCTCACCTACATACACACACACAACATACATACACCACTTGCTCGTACACACTACAAAAGCGCCACAGACCCGGTCGCAAGCTAGAGTTTATTTCGCTGGGCGTGCCACCGCTGTGGGAGATATCTGGTAGGGGAAACCCCGCTAGACAACGAAAGGTCAGGCACGATTGAATCTCACATTCAGCGGGGAAAGATCACGCCACCTCTCCAGGATAACGCATACACTACACTTACGGGACGACACACCGAGCCTGACGCTCCTGTGGAATCACTAATCAATCTATGACGAGCTAGTAGAGCAATAGAAACAGCCCGGGTCCGTCGTCCCGGTGCGCGTCGTTCTCCACCGCCTATTATCTCTCCCGCTCGCTCCTGCCGCCTCTCCCACTGAGTGGCCATTCTCATAGCAGCCCCCATATTCACTCCTCCACTCTCCTTCCCTGGCCCTCCTCATTCCGAGACCATAAATCCCCTCCCCTACCCGTCCTACTAGGAGACTTTTGCCTCCCAGACGGGCAACCTCCGCGCCCGCCCATCACCTGCCTGCTTAACTTCTATGTGGTAGCCCTACACCAACTTCTCCCCTAACCCTTTTCCTCCCCCTAGTTCTGCTTCTCATCCTCCCCCCTTCCCCGCATCCGGCCCTCCACTCCACTGCCCGCTTCTGCCTCTAAACCAATGCCTCCCCCATACCCTACCCCTCCCTGCCGCCCTCACCACACCAGCCTCCCTCCCCGCCAGAGTGGCCGTTCCGTGCCGTGAGGTGGCTCGAGCGAGCGTGTGTTTTCGCGGGCGGCAGGGCGTGAGCCGCGAGTTCGTGGGGTGCGGCGCGAGCGCGCCGTCGACTGGGGCGACTACGCCAAAGCCGTTCGCGGACGCCGCTGTGGGCGGCGCGCGCTGGCGGCGGCGCGCTGGCCCGCGGGGCTGTGGCGCTGGCACGCGCTGGCGCGGCGCTTCAAGGCGAACGCACGCCGCGCCCCCCCGGAGCCGGCAGTGCGCCGGCCCTCGGCCGCCGCCTTCTATGTCTTCGGCATCTTCTGCCAGCGAGGTGAGCGCGCCCCCGCCTTCTCGCGCCATGTGCTCACGAAAACCGCGACACCTTCTTCGTGCAATGGTATGCAATAGTACTCAAAGAAAACCGCAACACCTTCCTCATTGCATGACACACCAGTGCTCTGAGAAAAACGCGACACCTTCCCTCTGCATGTACGCACCAGTGCTCAGAGAAAAACGCGGACACCTTCGCTCGTGCATGTATGGCACTAGTTCTCACGAAAATTCACGACACCTTCCTCATGCATGTACGCACCAGTGCTCGAGAAAAACGCGACAACGGCGTAACGTGATTAAACATTATACGACAGAGCATTATATTTATTTTCAATGTAAAATATCACTTCTAATGAATAAACTGTACTGATAAAATATCTAGCTGAAATTTACTAAATGCACAACACTCCCTGAGTCCAGTGGGTCAAAGATAAGTCTGAAATAGTTTGCGAAACCGAAAGAGAACTTGAGCGTGTGATCGTTGGAGTTCGCTTGGGGAAAGAGGTTGAGCGAAGGCGGCGTTCGCAGGGCACGACATTACCCCGGAGTCGCTGCCGTGCCGCGTGGTGTACTTCACGGCGTACCTGACGGCGGTGACGCTGCTGGCCGCCTACTCGGCCGGCCTCATCGCCTTCCTCACCGTCTTCGAGGTGACGCTGCCCTTCACCACCTTCGCCGAGATGCTGAGCAAGAAGCCCCTCTACCGCCTGGGCATGGCCCCGTCCTCCGGCGTGCTCAACACCTTCGACGTGAGTCGCTCACGCGCCAGCCGCTGAGGCGATTGGCCCCGTAAGCGTAGTGCGGTGATGTTTCCTCGCTGTCTGGAGAGGTACGGAGCGCCGACCTACGTCGGCGTCTGGGGATTTTCTCACTGCCTCAAGCTGTAAGTTCCGGAATGGCCTCCCGACATGTGTGGCAGTGTAAGGCATATGTGTGTGGAAGTGGGGGTGGGGAAAGGAGAAGGAAGAGGAAGGAATGATCTCGAGAGGTCCGGGCCCGTTGGTTAGGGTACTGTTTTGTCTGGTGTTGATCAAAGAAACCACGGAAAACTACCGATCAGAGCAGCCGGCCGCTGGAATTCTCCTCCGAACAGCGGCTGAATTCAACGAATGTCGCACATCCTGCCACCGTCGGGACTCGAACACTAGAAACTCACGATCAGAGGCACTGAACTGATGTCAGTAAATGTCCTTAGCTACCTTTACCGGTGATTGCCAAGAGATACCCTTTACTAAGCGCTCGTTAAACTCGAAAATCAACAATTGTTCCCACTGCAGTGTCTCTGATGGGGAGGTCCTAGGGTTGCAGTTACCTTTACACAGATAGGTCGATTTCAGAAGCTCCCTGGAGGAGAATTCTAGAGGCCGTCTGCCCTGATCGGTACTTTTTAATGGTTCTTCCGATCAATAGCAGGCGAATGCCGAAGCAGTATCGTAACAAAGGAGCCACGAACCTCGCGCTATCTACCCTTCATCACATTTCTACCGCCCTCGTTCTTTACACTCACACTTGCAGTTACACGCTCTACACATACGGCGCGAGAGCCATTGAGAGCTTGCAGGTTGACCCGGCTGGGGCGGTGCCCCACGGGTGGGAGATACATAGTTCGGAAAACACCGTAAGCGGGCGGTAGGTCGGCGCCGGATATCATGTTCCAATGGAGCAGGAACACTACCACATCTCGAGATATAACGTGCATTATACTTACGGGACTAGGTCATAGCTGCTGACGCGCTCGGAACACAAAATAATCGATCTTATGAGTCCACGCGAACTCATTAACCTTACAGGCTCTGAAGAACTTAGAATCATTATCTACCCAAACACACTTTGGGTAGATGGAGTCAATAAAATGCGAGGTTCCCTCTCCAGCAAGATAATTACATCGACGCAAAAGACAAGAAACAAATATATATGAATTGATTTCAAGCATTCGCTCCGTTCAATCCGACGCCACGAGTAATTAAATGACCAAGTCCTTTAAGTTAGGAATTTGTCCCTAAATATTTTTACTTCGATTCATTCAACAAGCTTGTTTGTATAAACAATTAAAACTATAAAAGCGATTGCAATAATGAATATAACTTTTAAACATATATTATGCAAGTTCGATAATCTAAAAGAAATATTTCATTTTTATTAATATATCCTTTTAATTTTTATTAATACAGTAGTGGTCAAAAAACCGCATTACCTAAAGAAAATGAGCATTCTCTATTTTCCTAATTCAATCTGCTTCGAAAAAGTTTAAACAAATATTAGTAAAATTGGTAATCATATATTTTATGTGGACGTGTTTCTGATTCCTTTACCTTCATAACTCGCTCGATTTTTGCAAGTGAAGTTGTGTATTTTCAGAATTATATTGCATCTTCCAACTGTGAGAAAAGGTGATGCGGTTTTTGAGCACTGCTGTATATAAAATTGACGTTTTGTTTGCACTAACAAAAGAGAATAAAAGAGGTTGTGAGGAAACGAAAGGCGGGGGGCGCTGCGCAGCAAGCCAAGGACCCGCTGCTGCGAGAGGTGTACCGGCGCCTGATCGCGCCGGGGCTGGCCGACCTGCCGACCGACCACGCCGAGGTGCGGCGGCGGCTGTGCGCGCCGGGCGCGCCGCCCTACGCCTACATGCGCTCGCGGATCCTGGGGCTGAGCGGCGCGGGCTACGAGCGCTGCCACGTGGCCGCCGTGCCGCACGTCTCCTTCCCAGAGGCGCTGGCCGTCATGCTGCCCAAGCGCTCCCCGCTGCGCCGCCTCATCAACTGGCAGTGAGTGCTCCCTTGCCTCTGCCCGGGGCGTTTGCTAGGTCGCTGCCTCGGGGAGAATTCTAGCGACCGGCTGCGCTGATCCGTACTTTCTCGTGGATTCACCATTCCAGGCGAATGCCAGAGCAGTACCCTATCAAACGGGCCACGGACCGCACGCCCCACCTCTTCCTTGTCCTATCCTCACCCTTACTTACTCACACACACTCGCACTACCTTTCCAGCCGGGAGACCGTTCGGGAACTGAACGATTGTCGTAACCGGGGCGGTGTAACGCTGGCTAATACCTGGTTGGAAAAATCCCTCACGCCGGCGGTAGGTCGACGCCGAACCTCACCATCCAGTGGAGGAAGTTCTTCCCTCCGCACCGACCAGGTTCTCCCGTCAATGCCAGGCGAATGCTAGAGAAGAACCCTACCAAGTAGGCCAAACACTGTGTCTGATATTTCCTTCCTCATATTTGTCCCCACCTCTCTCCTTACGCGCACTATACTATACAGACGTTATTTTAATAAGGAACAACTTCGACGTACCGGAAACTACAGAAAATCATGCAGGACGATGGCCTTGCAAGAGATTGTGTCGAAGGTATCCAACAGGAAACTCATGCATGAACAAATTGAGCGCATGGACGTAACCTGCAGTTTTGCTATCTGTAATAGACAAGCAGTAGCTGCCAAAGCGGCCCTTTATTAGAGTAATCATTGTAAACCACGCAATTGGGGGGAGCAGTCGAGAGCTTAGAGCTCGTCTCGGCTGGAGCGTTCTCCCACTGCATGGGGCGAGAGCAATCCAGCCAACCCAAGGACAGAACGCAGCCCTTCTCATCACCCACGGTGGAATGAACACCAACGCAGCCCCATATACTAATGTAAGCGCATTACACTTACGGGAGTAATTACCAGAGCAGTTGACGCATCTGGAATTACGAAACAGTCGTCCGTTCCGACCCCACCCGCGAGTATTTTTATTTTTTTTTATATATTTACAAACAGTTAAATGGATAAATTATATATTATAATTGTCACGATTCCGTCACTTTGTTGGATGCAATTACGCTTGAAGAATATATTCCGCAGTCGTAAAGAAATCCAAATTGTGACAACATTACTGAGTAACAACGCATTTGAAGAAATTTAATTATTAAATGGATAAATGGAACTTGTTTGGAATGAGCGTATTCTATTAAGAAGTACATTAGTAGGAGTCGCTAGGAGACCTGTTGTTTAGCGAATAGACCACCCGGAAGCATGGCCTGCCCTTTTCATCTCCTCTTTCCCTCTCTCCCTTCCTCCTTCCCTTTCTCGGCGTGTTTGCTTATGGTTGTCGCGTTTTCCCTGCCTCTCATTTCACATAAACTCAGCGATCTTTCACATCGTATCTAGGATTACCATACGTCCTAGGACTTTTTTTTGGAAAGGCGAGTATTACGTTTAAATGCAACCTAGACGTTATGATGTGCGAATGATACTGCGCTTTTTTCAACTTATTCGTGTCATCATAACATTTGTATGAATAAACGTTATTGTATAAATAAATTACATTTAACTTCAACTATCTTGCCTAACAACCGCCCAAATCCATAGATCAACAATACACCTTGAAATGTCCTTTAATCCACGAAATGTTACTATACTCTCATTAGCTGATTCAACGTGTTGTATGCTGATGCTGGTTATAGTCTGTGCTCTGTTATGTTATACTTTTCTTCCGACCTGTGGAATTAATACCTGTGGCCTTAGATTTCGATCATGATGCCAAAAAGAAAAGCCTTGTTTAATGACATTCTTAAAGGAAAGTTCAAAACGTTTGCTGCAAGGTGCAAAGCAAAGTTTTAATTGTTGAGGGGGATTTCATCATCCACCAAATACTTTTGGTATAAAAGTGGAAAAGACAGTACCGATAATAAAGTAGGCTAAGTGAAAAGTATTGTGAAAGTGATGACTGATCGAAGTATTTGTCACTAGTAGGTATTATGTCTTTAAGAAAAACAAATTATTATTTTAAAACATTTTATGAGGAGTCCTCTTTTTATAAGAAAAAATCTCCTATTTTTCCGTAATGGAAATATGGAATCCCTAATCGTATCTTATCACCTATCAACAATTCATCCGTTGTAACAATTCATAACACTTACAATACTGGCATCGTTATAAAGAAAGTAATAGTTACACAAAAGATAAGAATCGAGATAAGACGAATTCACAAAATTACAGAGGGTTCTAGTTTTACATGTTTTCATTTTAAGACTCGGCTAAGGTGTGTGATTAATTAATCAGTGCTTACTATTGTTGATAATTTGAGCATAATTTATAAACTGGTACTTAACCTTACTTTTCAGAGATGCCACGAAGTTTCTATGCTCCAGGCTGCAAAAACAATTATTCATTACGGGGGCAGAAATGTTAAGGCTAAATGTACTAGTACAATTTGTAGACTCCACGTGGCAGCACCAAAATAAGTAAAATTTACGATACCGATAACGTGTGAACCAATGGTTCGACTTTCGATCTGTAAACGGCATTTGACGCCTTTGTAAAATAGAATTTACGCTAGGATGACCTTTTTCCAAAAATCTAACAAAAACGCGAATTTGAAATTAGTATTATAGCGCGATGGCGACATGCTTCCTGAATCCAACGTCTGACAATCATGCAAATCGGACGAATAGGAGCGTCGAAAGTGAATTTACGAAAACACCTCGCCCCCCCCCCACTTCCCTTCTGCGCCGTTGCGTCACCCACCGCCCGTTGGGCCCTCTGTCAGCGCGGAGGCACGGCCAGGCCCGCGGTTAAAGCGGTGCTACGTCTAAGATTAATTTTTAGCTCTGCTAATATTCAGCAATTAAAAAATAACAGTATCCTTTTTTTAGCTTTATGGGTACTGGCCTGCGATGACGCAGTTATGCTCGTATTAACAAATAACAGAGTTGACACTCTTATATCATCTTCTTCTCCTCTACTCCAAGGATGGGTTCATGACCTGTTCTAACTTCTACCATTTATTCTCATAACGATCTGCCTGTGTCTTCTACGTCACGTTCTACACATAACGCTTGCTTTAGAATGCGGTCAGTCCATGTATAGAAGTCATTCCTCCTTCACTTCAGAAGTCAGAAAGATAGTATTTGCCATTGATTGCTTGAACAACTAATTTTCATCTTATTTCGCGTCGCGCTTCTGCTGTAGTCCTATGGCAAGAGAGACAACTCGCATACGAGGCTTGCGAGCACAACCGCATGGGTGGACAAATTAGCATTAGAGAAGATTTCATTCGTTATCTAATCCCCAAGCAATTTCGCCGCTAACATTATATACGCTAGTTCTCGTGACAGTGACTCCGCCTGGAGAATGGCCGGTAGGCAACACATTCGTTAATTTGTTTTGGCCGTGTACAAACGAATTCCGATTGCTAGGTGCATTCGAGAGCTGCACCCAGACTAACACCCGCTCTCGGGCACTTGAACGCAACACCTGCATTTCCCAACCGTTGCTTCGTGTACAGACCGTGTCATTATATAACTATTCAATTATAACTGAACTAAAAATATAGGAATATTTTGTTCTCTACGAAAATCTCAATGTGTGTTTGTGTGAGAGAGAGAGTGTGTGTGTGTTATTTGCCTGTAATAGATCTAAATGAAAACTGTAGTAATTATTTACGAAATATGTAACGTAATTTCATCCTTTACTTTACGAGATCAAATCGTACAAGAGAAAATATCAAGATTGTAGGAAGATAACATGGAACTCTACAATATACGATGACGCAGAAATCCTGGTGCCAGCGTGATTATCCTTCTCCTTGCGGTCAGGCAAGCAGTATATTTTCTGGAACTTTTGGATTTTTTTTCATCTAGATCTACCCTGTTAAACAGGTTATATTATTTAAAAATATTTAAATTGACCAACTGGCACATCTCATCACTTTTCAAGAGTGCGTATAATGTTTTTCCGTAAATCCATTACTTTGTCTTTGTATCTGAAAGTTTTAAATAATATCCTTTGTGATTTTTGATGAAATTAATAAACAGACTTTGTAAATTAATAATTTAGAGATATATCTTATCTTTTAGGATCAAAAAAATTTGTATGAAAGTTCATAAATATCACTCAATTACGTTTCGGTCGTTTAGGAATGTGCCGCAAATTTTTTCCAGCATGTTATCTTCAGATGCAAAAAGACGAACAACAGTGAGAACTGTAAATAGCTATAAATAATCTAGTGACTACATGATATAGTTACCATAGGGTAAAGTGAATGAGAACGAAAAAAAGAAAGTTTATAATTCTACTAAGATAAAAAAGAATTCGTGCACACACACAGGGAGTGACTGACTGACAGACGACGGAGGACGGGACGGACTCACTGCAGGACGGACGGACTGACGGATGGACGGACTGACGGATGGACGGTCTGACGGATGACGGAGTAATGGACACGGACAAATGGACTGACGGACTAATGGACTAGCAGACTAACGGACGGACAGATTGTCTGACAGACGGGCTACGGACTGATGGAGGGACCGCCTGACGGACGGACTGACCACTGACGGACCAACGGACTGACAGACGGACAGTCAAGCTGACGGACGGACAGTCGGCATGACGGACGGACAGCCGGCCTACGGACGGACCGCCGGCCTGACGGACAAAACGGTCGACCTGACGGACGAACGGCTAAACGGACGGACAGAAAAACGGACTGACGGACGGACAGACGGACAGACGGACAGACAGACGGACTGACGAACGGACTGACTGACTGACAAAATAGTCACAATATAAAATAGTTATAATACTCAGGATAGTCAGATCGGCTTGTTGGACGGATCCTCAGTTGATCGACTTGCCGGGTCGATCCCACACTTGATTGACTTGCTGGTCGATTTCCACTTGAATGACTTGCTACGTCGATCACCCACTTGATCGACCTTGCTGGCGATCACCCTTGATCGACTTGCTGGATCAATCACCACTTGATCGACTTGCTGGGCCGATCACCACTTGATCACTATGCGGGTCATACCACTTGATGACTTGCTGGGTCGATCACCACTTGATCGACTTGCTGGGTGATCACTCACGTTTGATCGACTTTCTGGGTCTCCCCACCTTGATCGACTTGCTGGGTCGATCCCCCATTTGATCGTCTTGCTGGGTTGATCCCACTTGATGGACTTGCTGGGTCGATCCCCATTTATCGTCTTGCTGGGTCGATCCCCCACTTGATGGACTTGCTGGGTCGATCCCACATTGATCGACTCGCTGGGTCGATCCCCACTTGATGGACTCGCTGGGTCGATCCCCACTTGATGGACTCGCTGGGTCGATCCCCACTTAATCGACTCGCTGGGTCGATCCCCACTTGATCGACCGCTGGGTCGATCCCCCACTTGATCCACTCGCTGGGTATCCCCACTTGATCGATTCGCTGGGTCGATCCCCCACTAGATCGATTCACTGGTCGATCCCACTTGATCGACTCGCTGGTCGACCCCACTTGATCGACTCGCTGGGTCGATCCCCACTTGATCCACTCATGGTCGATCCCCATTGATCCACTCGCTGGTCGATCCCCACTTGATCCACTCGCTGGGTCGATCCCCACTTGATCCACTCGCTGGTCGATCCCACTTGATCCACTCGCTGGTTGGTTCCCTCACTTTATCGACTCGCTGTCGTCCGATCCGCCCACTTGATCGACTCGCTGGTCGATTCCCCACTTGATCCACTCGCTGGTGACCCCACTGATCACTCCTGGCGATCCCCATTGATCGACTTTGCTGGTCGATCACCACATTGATCAACTTGCTAGGTCGATCACACTATTGACTTTCTGCGTCATCCCATTGATTGACTTTCTGGTCGATCCCATTGATCGACTTAGCTGGGTCGATCACCCACTTGATCGACTTGCTCGCTCGATCACCCACTTATCGACTTGATGGGTTGATCACCACTTCATCGACTTGCTGGGTCGATCACCCACTTTATCGACTTGATGGGTCGATCTCCCACTTTATCGACTTGATGGTCGATTCCCACTTTATCGACTTGATGGGTCATCTCCAGCTTGAAACGACTTGCTGGATCGATTCCCCACTTCATTGACTTGCAGAGTCGATCCCCACTTGATCGTCTTGATGGGTTGATATATCAATTGATCGATTCTGGGTTGATCTACCACTTGTGATTATGGTTGGCTTAACAAGTATCATAGTTTGCTTACTAGGATCACGGTAGACGTACAAGGATCATTGTTGGTTCAAGAAGGATATTGGATGCTCAACAAGAATTAATTAGTTGTCTCAACGAGGCTCATGTTGGCTCAACAAGGATCATGGTTATCTCAAAAACGATTATAGGTGGCTCAACAAGGATCATGGCTTGGCCTAAATGGATATTGGTTGGCTCAAACAAGAATATTTATTGGCTCAACTAATATATTGTTCATCAAGAACGATCATGATTGTTGCTGAACACTGATTTTGATTGGCTCAACAAGATCATGATTGGCTTAACAAGAATCCTGCTTGACAAGAAGACTCCCATTTCCTGCAATTTAACATGCACTGCATTCACGAGACATTACATACATCAAAGCTTTGTAATAATAACCTTTAGATTAGTGTGAGTTAAAGCCTTTAAGAAACATTGTTCGATTTTAAATCGTAACACTAAAGACAAATAGATGTTCAAGAAATGTAACACCAAAACAGAACTAAATAAACAGAAAAATTATCGTACATTTACTACTTATTGACACTCTGGACGTTATAAATGTTAACTCAAATTGTTGAATATTTTGCGCCAGTATAAATATTTTGACGCCTCAACTTTCGCAAGCCGTTTCAGATTCAGTGCAAGGGAAACCATGGGGGTCTTCGATTAATAGGAGTTTATTTCTAATTACTCACACTCCAGCTGTATGTTAGTAGTGAGTGAGAGTAAGTGTGATGAGTGGGTGGTGAGGGTGTGAGTGAGTAGTGAGATGAGTGCGAGTGCGTGCGTGCTTGATGCGAAATGCATTTTATTATGTATAGATATAGATTACTACGACCTTGCCCTATCTAGTATATGCGCAAGGTGAATACCTGCTCCCGACATGAGTAAGGATTTGATTCTAATTGTCGCTAAGTATATTTGAGGCATCAATATTGATACATTATGTCTCAATACACTGTCGTCCAGATTTATTGGCACGTATTGAAAATAGGTTATTATCAACAGAGCGACTCATTCACATGCTATCAA